TTTGCAATCTTTGCAGCCATTCTAGACAGTAGGAGTGAATGGCAAAAGTATCCCCATTTTGTAGGTAGAACAAGCAAGGACCAGATTCTGCTGAGTGGTCCAGACCATATATTGAAATGGGTGGGGGGGAGTAAAAAGCTGGGTTGTTGTTTTTTAATTCATATAAAGGGAAAAGTAGGGATGAATATGATAATGATATATGGATATAATGATATGATCTAAACGTGATAATGATAGCACATAAATATGATAATGATCTGATAGGATAATGAACATGACTGTCATTCAGAGGGATTCACATTCTTCCATGTAGCTCCTGAGAACAGAATGAGGACCAGCAAAGGGGAGGAATGGAGTGTGGATCTGGGCTCAGTAGGAGAGGCAGCTTTCTGATCAGGAGGGCTCTCTGAAAGTAGAGGGAACAGACTGGGGAGATGGTGGACTCTTGATTCCTGGAAGGACCTGGGTCCAGGCTGGAAGTCAGCCAGGCAGGAGCACTATTCATGGGTCCCCAGCTCACAGGGGCAGTTGGAGTGGATGGCCTCTGAGCCTGGCATTCGGCAATTCTGTGCACAGGGAACTTGGCATTGGGTTCCTCCCTTATGAAACCAGAAGGAGTTTCTCCCACCCACTTGGCTGGAGGCGTTCTCCCCAATAAAGTCATCCTAAAGGATGACATCTACAAGTCAGCCATCCCCCAGGATGGAATAAGGAGAAATGGCCTTAAATCATGTGACCTCCACAGGACTTATGAGAGACTTTCTGTATCGTGAGTGTGGAGATGGGGTTCACTTGCTAGAGGATGTTGCAGGAACTCCTCTCTGGGTGATCTCTGAGGAGAAGGTGGATACCCATGGACCTCGGTGCTGTAGAAAAAGCAGTGTGGAGGCAGGGGGATGGAATTCATGACCTCTCCAGGTTCCTGCCAGCCCATTCCAGCTATAATTCTATGATAAAACCATTAGAGGGCCCAGAGGTGGTTTAGCCTCATTTCTACCATTCTGGTGATAGAACACATTTTTTTTAAAACCCTATAAACCCTAAACCATAATTCTTTTACAGCAGAGGGAAAGACAGGACAGTCATGCACGGTTTGCAGCAGGGCAGCAGCGGAGAGAGGTTAAAGGAAGAAGAAGGTCTGTTTAGACTGTGGTTGTCCTTTTCCGTTCAGCGAGGGTTAGGGGGTGTTAAATGTGAAGTTTGATGACCGAACAAAAGCAAAGCGAAAGAGAAAAAAGAATGTGAAAAAAACTTAAACCTGCAGTTTTCTGATACACAGAAGGGAAACCCAAACTCTGCTCATTATGGCCCACATTTATGGCAGATCATAACAGTAAATTACAACTCTGCAGCCTCGGCCAGGACTGTGCTGTTCTTCCCATGTGCTTCCAATTTAGCGCGTTTGAAGTTGCCCTGGATATTTATTTGTAGGGGATTTACTGTGCAGAACGATTAAAGTTTGTTCTTGTTAGGAGTTTGGGGCTAGTTTTGGGGGCGGGGAAGATGGAAAGGGGAGAATTAGCTAGAGAGAGGAAGGGGGCTGCCAGGTACCCCGAATGAATACATGTATATGTTTTAAAGTACACGCAAACACACATACAAGGGCCCTTTGTTTTCAACACGGTGAGGGTCCAACATCTCTGACTGTGATTTTGTTTATAGGAAATCCTTTATAATGCACGTTTAGTGTTTCCATATGGAATTCTCATAGGACATTTCCCCGCACCACCCTCCCCCCCTCCCCTTTTTTTATTTGGATAAGGCAAGAGAAAAGGGACTGTACATTCCAAAGATTCATAGTCATTCCGGATCAAATTCAATGGATTTTGGCAAGAGTTGAAAAACCCAGATGCAGAGCTTCAGCCTCCTGCTGAGCCGCCTCCAGCTGTGAGTGCCTGGTGGAGGCACTTTGTAAAATCATGAAAACCCTATTAAATTCATGAAATATGATATACTGTCGTTTCAGACTAACTTTCCATTGAACTGTCCATGAAGAAAGAATGGTTAGCTTGCCGAAGAAGGGGGAAGTGACAAGGCTGGGGCAGGGCTGGGAGACAGGAGGCCCTATTGAGGGAAGCATGGAGAAGCCCTGGGAATTCTGAAGAGCTGGCAGATTTCTAGGTGTGGGCATGAGCCTCCTTCAGACCCCGGCAGCGCCGGGATTTCTCCGGGTTTGACGCTCCCCAGAAAGGGAGGTGGTCGCCATGGTTCCTCTCCCTGTCGAGGCGCCGAACGTCCCACTGGGACCAGTTTCCCTGCTGGGATCATTGTTTCAGAGCACAGCAGACCCAGCAGTACCCAGAGGATATGTAGACTCTGCCCCTTATTTCAGAGCTGGGGGGGCGGCGAGGGCAGCGAGAAGAGAGACTGACTCGCTCACCCAGGGTCCACCACATTGAAAGAAAACCCAGAGCTCCTGAATCCCAGTTTAGTTCTTTCCAGCAAAGCATGCCACTTCCCTGGATAAATGAGGCAGAGATATTCACTCCGTCTGACCCAGATCAGAGCTGCTGACGACATGGTTTTTTGCATGAACTCATAGGCCTAGACTCCGCACCCCCCGCTATGAAACAGTCTATCCTAAAGAAGTTGGATACTCTAAGTTCATTTCCTATTGGACTATAATTCACATCATAAAACTATCGCATGTTTATTTTCAAACAGATCAGGGTGAGGGCTCCCTGGAGGTTCATTGGTTTTGCTTTCTGGAAACCTCCACAGGACATGGCAATTGCAGGAGCTCACATGTATGTGCTGAGTTCACCTTGCAGGAAGCCAAGTGGGGCCCTCTTCCCCCACATGTCTTGGCACCCCAGTCCGGACCCCTGGAACTGAAAGGCACACAGAATGTCGTGGCCCACCTGTCATCCATGCAGTGGTCCCTGAAATAAGAATGTCACACGGTCCCAACATCTCTTGCCCAGCACCTCTATACCCAGTTACCATGGATAGCATCATGCACGGAAAAGGATCAGAATAAAAGCTGACTGTGACTGAGTGTTACAATGCTAAGGCACTGTTCCAAGAACTTGACATGACTTCAATCATTCCATCCTAACAGCAACCCTATGCTGTAGTGATACTGTTATCCCCATTTTGCAGATGAGAAAACTGAGGCAAACTGCTCAAAGTCTGATAGCCAGCTAAGATCGCATAACTGACCTAAATGGCTGAGCCAGTATATGAATCTCAACAATCGGGCTCTAGAGCCTGAGCTCTCCCACTGCCCACCACCCGCCCCCCACCCCAAAGCACACAGACCTAAATAGCCATGTCAGAGGAGAAGGTCTTAATTCTTCTTCTTCTCACCCCCACTGGAGATATACTTTTTGAAATAAACATTTCACACTTTCTCCTTACCCTTTTGATATGTAAACAGCCCCTGAGCATGGGTGGCATTAAGTCACTAATACTCTAAACTAGGGCTTCTCAAACTGTAAGGCGCATACAAATTCCCTAGCAATCTTGTTGAAATGCAGATTCTTAATTGGTCTGTGAAGGAGCTTGAGGTTCCACATTTCTAACAAGCTTGCGGGGACTGCCTCGGTCCACGGAGCACACTCTGAGTGGCAAGGCTCTAGGCTATTTACCTGATTGCTTTCCTCCACCAAAGGAGGTACCCATAAGAGGGCAGCTGGAAGGGTCAAAGACACTTCATCAGTTTCACAGGGGCGGCCCAGGCTAGCCCTCCTGCCACCCATCAGCAGAGCCACTAGATCTCGCTGGGAGTCCTAGGGAAGGTACACAGTCTTTGGGGCCACGGGAAGCCCTGGGATTGAAATCTTTGCAGCAGCTGGGTGCCAGCCAGCTGCCACAGGACCAGAGAGTCCAGTATGTCTACGTCCCTGGCAGGGGCAGTCGTGCCTATACGGTGATCACTGGGGTCAGGAACAGTCAACACCAACACCTCTCTTACATCCTGGCGGGAAGACTGCTGGCCAGGAGGAACTGGCCCAGTGTGGCAGTTCCCACCTTCTTGCTGGGGACTTTGGACAGACATTTAACCTTCCTGGTTCCATTTGTCTGACATGGAAAATGAGAGGATTGCACGAGAACTTTCAGTCCCTCCCCTCCTTCCCATCCCAGTCTATGAGTCTACAAACGCCTATACAGTAAATAAAAATTCAGCCAGCTGTCTGCACATCTAAATATTCTGATGTCCTTGTTGCCAACACCAAGCATCAGGATATCAGACAGAACCCATTTCCTTTCCAGTTGGAGGCTGAGCACCGTAAACACAGCTTTCACATGAACCTGGCTGCCCTATTCCTGGTCCCTCCCCATCTACGTCTTGGGAAGCAGATGGAGGAGGCTGATTCCCCCAAGTTGCCAAGCAGGCTGCCTGAGCCCCTAGACTGGAAGGCGGGAGCCTAGTCCCCAGGGCTCTGCTTCACAGCCAAAACACACCGTATCATGTTCCTACTGGCTCTGAAGTCCTCGCACAGCCAAGAGAAATAGGCATTTGAGAGCAGAAAGGGGCAGCACTTGACCCCTGGCCTCTTTGGTCTGGCTCCCTCTGACAGGGTGAGGCAAAGGGCCTGGTGAGGGACAGGGAGGCCCAGTAGACACCCAGCCCCGCAGAGCTGGGCTCAAATCCCTAGCTCCCCAGGTCTGGGTTTCAGACTCTCAAGCTCTGTGACCTATAATGTTACTGCAAGCATCATTCCTTATAAGGGCTAGACACAGACGAGGTGGGCAATAAAGTGAAGCCATTCCTTTGAGTGACTGTTGATAATAAATCAGACACTCCCCAGATCTGCTCTCCAGTCTGACAGAGTCCAAGGGACACTTGGAACCTGTATTGTGGAACAACTGAAGATTCAGGGTTCTAGGCCAAGGCTCTCCAGTAGAAATGTAAAGCGAGCCATCAATGTGTATCATGTATATAATTTTAAACTTTTAGTAAAAAAAAAAAAGTTTTAAAAAATCAAATATATTACATTTAAAAATAAAACATAACAAGTTTAATTAATTTTAATAATTTATTTAATTTAGTCTAATATACAAACTAGTGTCATTTTGGCATGTAATCAACATTAAAAATGATTAATGATATTTTACATTCTTTTTTTCGTACTAAGTCTTCGAAATTTGGTGTGTATTTTACATTCATGGCACATCTCAGTTTGGACTAGCCATATTTCAAGTGCTCAGAGGCCACATGTGGCTAGCGACGACCATACCAAGTTGTGCAAATATAGAATAGAAGACACCATTGGATCCCAAACCAGTGGTGGCAACAGAAGTTGGCTGGGGGTGAGCAGGGTTTAACGTTCCTATCATCTCCAGCACCACCCCCAGCTATCCCCAGGAATTATCACGTTAATAACACTGAAATGCTAAAAATACTATTCTTAGATGTGGTGACTAGGCATTTCCTCAATCTTATGCAAAGGACGAATAAAAGGATTTTTGGAAAACTTTGCTATTTTTATTGATCTTTAGTACTGGAGTTAAGTAAAAACGACAGGCTAGCTCTGTACACTCAATATTAACACCACGCCCTTCAGGATATCTTGCCCCTACGCTCCTGCAGTAAATACTTTTGGGACTGTGACTGACCAGCAGAGAGGGAGAGGCATTGGTCAGTGCAGAAAGCACCTGTGCGTGGGGGCGGGGGGCGGGTGTCTCAACACATGAAGTGTTCAGTGCTGTTTTTTTCTTTAAATGTGATTTACATGAGGACCTTGAATACCAGTGCACAGCGTGCTGGTAGAATAGACTGCATGGGTGCAGGGTTAGAACAGAGTCAGGGCAGGAGGGGGTGGAGGGAAGGGTTAATGCGTGCAGATGGATTATTTGCTGCTAGTAGAGGGGAAGTTTGAGAAGCACCACGGTACAGACAACTCAAGGACAGGGTACCAGGCTGGGGGACTCAAGGATGCCGAGTATTAGGAACTGTACTATAGCAACGGGGGTTTTAAGTATAAGACACGTCAGAGAATATTGGACATCAGATACAGGGTTCAAGGGGACTGGGGCGTGGGCTAGGGGGAAAGCAGAGTGAAGAGTCCTCCTCCAGTCAGAAAATGGCACCACGGTTTTTTCTACTAACTTCATGGCTTGCTCACCAAGCTTTCTTTGGTCCTTATTTTGTTGTGAGGATGGCAAGGTACTACATGTCCCTTCCTTGCTCCCTGACACCCTCCCATCCTCTCTCTCCCAGGCCAATTGTTACCTCTGCTAACAGAAGGTGGCAGGACAGAGGGGAGCACCCAAGAGGGTAGGCTCAGTGATACAGGTCCATACAACTCTTGGCACCTTACTAGTCTCTTCCTTGTAAAAACTGGGAGATATTACTAGCCTGATAGACTGGAGGCTGAACCAGATGTCTTCTAGTGCACAATTCTGGAACTCTAGGAAACAAGCCAAGAACCCTACAGCCTAAGTCTTGCTACCAGAGTGAGACTCCCACACATGGACCTCATGACCCTGACTCCAGCCTGGGCAGCGGTCACGTCCCACCAGAACAAGCTCCGTCCAGGCAACCACCCAACATCCCTCCCCGTGCCCCCCAAACACACACGCACACGTGCACACACATGTACATAGGCACATGCACACACACACACAAATAGACACACATCTCCAGATGCACACATAGACACACACATGCACACACACAGACACATATACCTAGATGTGCACACAAGCATACACACACACAGACACATACTCAGGTGCAGACAAACACACACGTGCATGCACACAAACCCACAACTTCCTCCCCCTTCTGTGAGACTTCATCTACTCTCCAGAAATGAACACTTCTTTCTCCAAAGCATAGCCCTTTCCTCTTTCCAAACCCTGCCCAGACTTTTAATCTTCCGTGAAACCTTTCTGTATTAATCCTTAAATCTGACCACCTCATTGATTGAACTATCTCTTCAACAAAGTTATCTACTTGTGCAACCAGCTTTTTAAACTATTTCCTTGCATATGAAAATAATAGTATGCTCTACAACCTTTCAGTGTGTTTGCACACCTATTATAGTACCAAGAGTAATGCTGTGCAAAAAGCAGGAGCTCATTAAAAATGAGCTAAAAAAAAATGATCTCCATAGAGTCTCTATGTGGAATTAATAATAGTTAACATTTATTTTGCATTTAACAGTGTGGCCAGCCCTGCACTAAGCACTTTATATACAATATCTCATTTCATCAATAACCCTATTAGATAGGTATTATAGATTTTTTATTTTAAATAAAAGCTGGGAGATAGTAGATTCTAGAATACAAGGCAGTCTGATTTGAAATGCCACGCTTTTGCCCCTGCACAAAACAACTGTCTGTCCATTTACCCATTAACTACACTGAGACACTCAGACATTCAGTGAATTACCCGTCACAAGGTTGGGGCTAGAACCCAGGTACCCTCCACTGAGCATCACTGCCTCTTTCAAGCTTGGCAGTTGAATTCTTCCTTCCATGTGAGAGAAGTCATATATACAGGAAACAGCAAAGACTTTAAAGCCAGGCAGAACCTCAGTTTCACCTTTTGTAAGAAGAAAGCAGCGATAATTACCTCGCCAGGTTGCCGTGAGGATGAGGACCGAGGAGGACTCTCATGCATTTCCTGGCACAGAACTAGTGTGCGGTTACTGCCAGCTTTCAGCCTCTTCTCTCCCTCCGGCCTCCCCTCCTTCTCCCCCCTCCCCGATCCTACACACTCTGCAGCCTTGCAGGCAGCATCCTTGTTCAGTTTGCCTGACTTCGTCCTTGGGAGCCAATATCAGACCAAGCGGGCTGCCCCAAGCATACTCAATAAGGAGGTTTGGCCCCCCGACAGTCATGAAGACACTGCAGAGATGGGATCACAGAGCTTGTGTTGCTCATGCTTCATGGAGGCTCTCCCACTGAGCAGTCCAGATTCCATCCAAGAAAAAGACAACCACCCATTGTGGATGGGAGGAAAGCATCTGCTCTGGAAGGTCCCCCCTCCCCTGCTCGCGGGGAACCTGTCCCCCTCCCATAAACTCTACCTGTGCACTCCAGTTGCCCTCGCCTGTCTCGCTATGGTGGCATGAGGCTATTAATTAATGTGTGTAAACCATGTGGAAATGTTTGGCTTGCCAAGGGCTCCTGATAGGTTTGAAATACTATTGGAAGCAGTGGAAGTTGGCACGGCTATCTGGAGCAGAATTGATCTCACCCCCAGGACTCCTGAGATTGACTTTGGTTAATGGAGGCGTATGCAGAAAGAGCGGGCTCTTCATTAAAAACACTGTGCATATATTTCAAACCCTTACTGGGGAACAGGGAGACAGAACTAAGAGGGAAAGAAAGACACCGGCATGGTCATTCTCCTGTGATGTGTCGAACCCAAAGGGAATTTCCCAAGGGTTGGGCAAAAGAGAGGGATACCATAAGTGGTATCTTATAAAGTGAGGCACATGGGGCTGGGTGGGTTTGGGTGTCTCTGAGAGGCAAGAATCCAGTCCTACAGTTATGGGTGCTTGTCTCTGTGTGCACAGAGGATGGCTAGGTACATAATGCCCTTCCCTAAACAGACTCTTCTTTGCTCTTGCAACTCCACAAGCCTCCTGAAAAAAGGGGGCAGGGAAAGAAGCACCCTCACCTGAGGTGGGACAGACAAGGGGCTGGGCTTGGTTCCATCACAGCTGTTGTATCGTCAGGGGTCAACCAGAAAAGCAGAACCAGGAGAAGAGAATATATAATATATAAAGAGATTTATGGCAAGAAGCTGGCTTATGTGATTGTGGGGGCTGGCTTGGCAGGTCCAAACTCTGTAGGACAAGCTGGAACTCTCAGGCACGGGGTAAAGCTGCTGTCCACAGGAAGAAATGACTTCTTTTCTTAGGAAGAAAGCTTCAGTTCTGCCTTTCAACGGATTGATTCAGGTCCACCCAGATCATCTAGGATCATTTCTTTCAGGTAAAAGTCAGCCAATCGATCGTGGACTGTAATCACATCTACCAAGTACCTGTGTACCGACACCCACGTTGGTGCTTGAGTAACAGGGACTGTAGCCCAGTCACCTATGCATAACACTGCCCATCATGACTGCTCTGTCCTCCCACCACTCAGCCCCCACCTCCTCTACCATCAGGCCCCCCACCACCTCCAGAAGCCTCCTGCTCTCGCATGGTTCTGCAGTGTCCCAGTCACCCAGGAATGGCCCGTGAGCTGTCTGCCAGCCAACCCCATCGAAACCTCGAACAGGTCTCCAAGATAGGCTGCCTGCACGGCTTCTCCCTGGTCATCACTTCCCCAGCGGGTGCCTGGAATAGCCTCCCACCTGCTCTCCCTGCCTCCAAATCCTCATTGCCAGGAGAGTGTATTTCTAAGCTCCATACCTGGTCCAACTCTTTGGGGACTAAGACTCCTTCAGCAGCTGCCCACAGGGTTCCTGTTGAATCATGGGCTCCTCCGAGTGGCATCCAGCCTTCCTTCTTGTCTGCCTCCCTTCCCCTCTGTGCTTCCGTGGTTCCTGGAAATGACCACACTGCCCACCTCCATGCCAAGGCCCATGTTCTCCTCTGACGTTCACACATGTCTTTGCCTCCTCACTGAAGACTAGCTCCCCAGGTGAGAGAAGCTCCCACTCTGGCTCCCTCCCCTGCTTCATGGGGATACTCCACTCTGGGATAGAACTACCTGCCCATCATCTGCCCCCACCTCGAACTAAGCATCGCACCTCTGCCCCCCCAGCGCCCATCCCAACATCCGTAGGGCTTACGATGTGTGTCCTGCAAATGCTGGCTGGGTTAGTGGACAGAATGTGCCAGCAGGGTTTTCCCAGCACCGCTCCGTTCGCTTGGCTCCTCACGTTCTTCCTCTGCCTGTAGTTCTGTCGGAAACTTACTGGGGTAGGGAGTGGTTTCTTCTCCCTCTGCCCTCCCTGTCTTCCAGTTGTTTTGACCAATACCACTGTCATGATAAATTATGATTCACGGAAGTTACTGCCTGAGGTGTTGGGGCCCATTTCAGGAACTGAAAAAAAGCACAGGACAGTGCAACCAAGAGGGTAAGGCAGGCAGGGTGAGATGCGGGGCTGGACGCTGGTCTGAGGCTGCAGGGAGCCTCCCCAGGGTACTCAGCAGGCACAGTCTCAAGTACATCTCTGGAGGACCCTCTGTGGGCAACAGGAGGAGGGGCCGGGAGACCAGCCACCTGGCTGTTTCTGGAATGCACTTCAGAGGAGATGAGGGATGGACCTCGGCAGGGGCCAGAAGAGGAATCACCAAGATTTGAGGATCCAAATCTGGGATGAAACTAGGAAACCTGCCCATACAGACAGATGTTCAGACATTTTTAAAGAACAAACTACTTTACAGCCCCAGACTTTCATTCATTCAACAAATATTATTTGAACATGTGATTGGTTATAAGCCTAGAGACAGTAAAATAGGATTCCTACCCTTGAGGGGCTTCATCCCAGTGGGAGGCAAGGACAGGAAATGAATGGGGGTGGGATTTTTTTAAAAGATTTTATTTATTTATTTGAGAGAGAGAGCAAGAGAGTACACATGAGCAGGGGGGAGGGGCAGAGGAAGAGAGAGAAGCAGACTCCCCACTGAGCAGGTGCAGGGCTCTATCCCAGGACCCTGGGATCATGACCTGAGCCAAAGGCAGACACTTAACCAACTGAGCCACCCAGGCGCCCAAATGGGGGTGCTTTAGACTGTCAGGTGGTGGTAGCATGCCAAAGAAAGTCACAGGTAAAAGGGATGGAAAGTCAGTGGGGTGGAGGGTGGTGTGTGTGCTACAATAGAGAGGTGTCTGGAGAATGCCTGAGGAGCCGTGACTGAGCAGGGGAGGGTGGTCTAAGCAACGGGAGTGGCATGTGCAAAGGTCCTGGAGCAGGAGTGGGTTTAACATGCTCTAGGTAGGGGAGGAGAGGGTGTCAGAGATGGAGCCAGAAGTCAGGTTGTGGAGGCCAAGTGGGAAGCAGAAGGACTTGGGCTTGTGTCTGCATGAGCTAGGCAGTGTGTGGAGAGGCCTTCCTCAGGGAAGAGACTCGTGCTACACATTCAAAGGACCACTCAGACTGTCAGACTGGACTGAGGAAGCCGAGACACATACACAGAAGGCAGCGGCGGCAGCTGCCTTGGGCTCTGCCATGAGCAGTGAAGGCGAGGAGAAAGGCCAGTTCCAGATGTAACATAGAGGTGGAGCTAACGGGAGGTGTTGGTGCATTGTGGCGTAGCGTGTGCGAGAAAGAGTCCTGAGCACCTGCGGGGTGTCTTAGTCCATTCTGGTCACTGTAACAAAAACCACTGACTGGGTGGCTCATAAACAGCAAACATTTATTTCTCACAGTTCTGGAGCCTGGGAAGTCCAAGATCAAGGCACCCACATTCGGTGTCTGGTGAGGACCTGCTTCCTGGTTCCTAGATGGCTGTCTTTGGCTGTGTCCTCACATGGTGGGAAGGGCAGTGGAGCTCTCTGGGGTCTCGGACAAAGGCACTCATCCCCTTCGTGAGGGCTGCTCCCTCATGACCTAATCACCTCCCAAAGACCCCACCTCGTAATACCATCACACTGGGGGGGTAGGTTTCAACATAGGGGCTTGGGGGACGCAAGCATTCAGTCCATAGCGGTGAGTGACAGTCTTTTTTACTGAGACTGGGGAGCCTCTCGGGCTGGTCAGGTCTGAGGAGGTGCAGGCCCCTCAGCATATACCCAACACATAAGCCTTTTACTGAGTGGAACCTGTTTTACATTGAGGGCCACCCACACATCCACAAGGTAGCTGTGGCTCACACATACCACGGAGACCTGAGACTCAGAACATCCTCAGGTGCCTTCTGATCAAAATCGAGTCAGCAGGGCTTTGCTGCTCAGTGTGCATTTACCCACGTCGGTTATCTCTGTCACTCTCTACCCATCAGAAGGTATTACTCAGAGCTTCCTCTTTCCTGTTTGAAATGGTCTCCCTGCGGAGAGATAGACAAAAAGACATCTGAGGGGCGCCTGGGTGGCTCAGGCGTTTAGTGTCTGCCTTCGGCTCAGGTCATGATCCCAGGGTCTTGGGATCGAGCCCCGCATCGGGCTCCTTGCTCAGCGGGGAAGCCTGCTTCTCCCTCTCCCACTCCCTCTGCTTGTGTTCCCTCTCTCGCTGTCTCTCTCTCTCTGTCAAAAAATTAAAAAAAATAAAAAAATAAAAGACATCTGAGATGTGGGGTCTTAAAGGGAGTGGGGATGGAGGGGAGCAGAACCTCATCCCTGTGGGTGGGGTGGGGGGATTCAATGGACTGCTCCCCACCCCCCACATTTCTCCCATGGCTCTCTTGGGTGGTCGGTATTGGCAGGGCTGCGTTATGACTTGTGGGGACTCTAGGCACTTGGCTTTCACAGGTCCCTTTCTCCATAAAAAAATATTAAAAATTATATTTTATGACTGCTTTGGTATTGAGGTGAATATAATGCAGCTGGATTATATGTGGTTTTTTTTCCTTCTGATTTTAAAAGAAATTAAAGCAATTTTGTGGGCCCTTCTAAGTATCATGGGCTCCAGGCACAGCACATGCTGTGCCCAGGGAGAAGTGTCCCTGTGTATAGGACGAGAAGAGGGTGGGTCTGGAGCAGCAGTGGATGTCAGGAGACCTGGGCCCCTGTCCTGACCCCTGAACAAGAAGCTATGAGACGTCCGATCAGTCTCCCCACCTCTCAAGGCCTCTGCCTCCTCCTCTTTCCGAAGGGGGACGCGGAACTTGACCATCTCTCGGCTGCCTTCTAAGCAACGACTCCCCAAGATTCTAACTAAAGCCTGCAGACCTCGAGCTTCATTTTCAACTTTCTGACCCCAGGGGAAGCCTCTTCCCCCGCCCCAACTACAATATTAAACTTGTTTTCCTTTCTGGATCTCCTTCTCTCATCAAATCATGTGCTGGTATGTGCAGCCACTGATTTCCAAAAGGCAGCCATAAAACCATAATGAGTATGGAGATACCAACGTGAAATGACAGAGAGAAAGTCATAAACATTCAAATAAATATATAAATATAAACAAGTCTATAAACCAAACCCAGGAGGTATTTTAAACGCATAATGTAGCATTTATATCTCTTACTTTGCGCAGCAGAACTTTCAAAGGAAATTCATTTAATTCTATTGCTCACACCCCTAACCCCCATCCAGGAGTAATCGCTAATAACCAGCACCATTACCGCCTCCCTCCTGATGGAGAGTTCATTTCAGAAGCTCGTTCTTGAATTCATTATCATGCTGGAAATGAGCTGAATCACAGCAGATGTGACCACATGACGATCCCCTGCTTCCTTCCAGTTGGGTTCGGCAAGATGCCTGCCACAGCCCTGGCCCCAGCCCTCTCGGACTATGCGAAAGTGGTTACCTCTCAATACCTGGCCCGATTTAAAGAAGCTTGTCAGGAGTTAGGAAGAGGGCAGATAATTCTGTTTTATTATGGGCTTGATGGGCGGAGGGACGCCGCTTCCCCCTCCCCGCCTCCCGCCCCCCGGAAGTATGACTGTGGCCCTCTCTCTCCAAAGGAAGGGAACCTAACCTAACCGTGGCTCACACCTCCAGCCCGGAAATGGCCAAGAGTGAACTGAGCCCTGCATACACACCGGCCCCGATCCCAGTGCTGTCAGGTGCTCACTCATCTATCCCTCAACAAGCCCTGGACTAGATACAGGGCCCGATGCAGAATGTGTGGGTCTAGTGCAAAAGGAAGATATGGGGCCCTGGTTCTAAAAGCAGGGGAAACATGCAGTTAAATGTACTAAAATATGAAACTTTTCATCAGGTGGTTTTCTCTCTCTCTTCCCCCACCCTTGACCTGTCATGACCTGTCATGATGTTTTTAGCTGCTATTAAATGTCACACTCCCAGGGGCACAGGGATTCTTGCTAGGTGTGCACAGATCCTCACCACACGGGGCCAGCCAGCGACTCAGCATAACTACAAAAGACCCACTGCCGGCAGGCTCCCTCCCATCAGCCATCAGATTGCCGCACCCTGCCCCAGCCAGCATGGGGGAGCTGAGCCCAGTGTCTCCCCTTCCCGCAAGCCCTCCACCCCAGCCCACAGTGAATGGATGACCCCCAAGGGACTGCAACCTCTGGGCCAGGTTTCGCTTGGTACCAGGAACAGGCCAAGATGCTGCAGTGCGCATCACATAACTCCGCCCCTCCCCACACCTGTGCACCCCTGAGCATGGAGGGTAGAGCAGTCCCTGAGTGGGGGGCCAGGAGGGAGAGGCCCTGAGCACCTAAAGGCAGTTGAGAACAGGAGAGGCGGCAGGGGGCAGGACTGAGTGTAAACCAAGGATCCAAGCTTCCCCTGTTCATGGTCCACTGTCCTATTAAAAGACAAAACACAAATTTAAGATCTTGAACAATTAAACATATTTGAATTATTAAGAATTTCAAGATGGTGATTATATAGCATCAAACCCCAAGCCTAGGGCCCTTTTAAGCACAAGACTATATACAACTACACTGGTCACATGCCCACAAAGCCAACTCTGGGTAGACGGTACCACTGTCCTAATTTTACAGGCGGGACAACCCAGGCCCTATAATTAGCCCAAAGTCATGATGCTGGGGTATAGGGGAACACTAAGCCTCAAACTCTGTAATCTGGCTCCAGAGCCTCATCCTTTACCATTTCCCCATGCTCTCCTTCATTCCACCAAACCCGGCCTCCTCCCCCAGGGTGATCAGCACAGTACCACATGGCCTGGTAGAAAAGTCAAAAGAGAATGCATGGCCCAGCCTGCACCACAATGCTGACTCATGCTGACTGGCTATGTGGCTTTGGGCAAGTCACTCAGCCTCTCTGAGCTTTAGCCCAACCTGCCACATGGAGGCACTGTGAAGAAAAAATTTGGAAGGGGCGCCTGGGTGGCTCAGTTGGTTAAGCGACTGCCTTCGGCTCAGGTCATGATCCCGGAGTCCTGGGATCGAGTCCCACATCGGGCTCCCGGCTCGGCGGGGAACCTGCTTCTCCCTCTGACCCTATCCCCTCTCATGTTGTTTCTCTCTCTCTCTCTCTCTCTCAAATAAATAAATAAATAAAATCTTTAAAAAAAAAAAAAGAAAAAAAGAAAAAATTTGGAGGGATACAGGTATATATTTATAGAGAAGCACCAGTGTCACCTAATATATCCAAGACAGGTAGGAGAGCCTGACCCGAACTGGAGCTCTCAACCATCTCCTTCTTTCCCGGGCTTTTCCCCACCCCTCTGTAGCCAACTGACCCTGACCCTGAATGTCTAGGGAGGCCCGTGTAAGTGCTTTGTAATGTAACCACTCTGTGGCCACACAGTAAGAAAGGGACAAGGCTAGACCCGTTTGCCATTCAGGTCTCTAAAGGGTGTCATATTTTCTGTGTCCATGTACAGCCACTTTGATTTCATCATCTTAATTACAATGGAGTTTTTTTCTGCTATGTGTACAGTCCATGGGGTTAGCTGTCTCCATTAGTGAGCCAGGACTCCTCCTGCCCAGCCTGATATCGGCACCTCTGAGTAAATGTTTGCTGAATGAAGTCATCAGAAGTCTGCACAACGGGGCTCCTGGGTGGCTCAGTCGGTTCAGCTTCAGACCCTTGGTTTCGTCTTAGGTCATGATCTCAGAGTCGTGAGATCGAGCCCTACCTTGGGCCTTAGTGGGGAGCTTGCTTCCCCTCTCCCTCTGCCCCTACTCGTGCTCGCTCGCTCTCTCTCTCAAATAAATAAATAAATCTTTTTTTAAAAAGTCTGCATGATGTTTTTCCTCAAATGAACTCATCCGATAAGCATTGACTTAAGGGGCCCAAATCTGTAGTAAGGCGAGAAAAACCTTGCTGACCCTTAGCTTTTAGGTCTCTTCTGCTGAACTAGAGTGACATGTATACTTCCTCAAGACAAGCAGGAGCTTTCCTTGGGTCTTATCAGAGAAGTTTCTGTTTGGGCAAGACTGGTTGGAAGATCTGAACAGTCGGAGCCTTTGCATCTGCCACAGCAGTAACTTAGGCCGACTGAGGTTGTGTGTGGCTGATGGGCCGTGCGTGATGCCCAAGGGCCCCCATCTCTTGGGGATCCGGGGCCCGACCTAGGAGCCTGGTTCACTACCCCCAGCAAGCCAGACACATCTGGGAATTTGCCAGAATGTCAGCTCTCAACTTCAGCCAAGAGAGTTATTTCATGAACTGTCAAAAGGCCATAGATGAGCCATAGGATGGTCAGTGGTTGTTAGGAACATGTGTAAAGTGCTCAGCACCATGCCTGGTACATAGTAAGTGTTCAACTAAAATGTCAGTCCCTGACAAATGTCATCTCTCTTGGGGAGGCTTTGTGAGCAGTCGGATTTGTCACTTATTCCTTGCGGGAATTGGAGACTCTTGGCCCCAAAGAGGGACAGTAGGAGAGTTGAACACCGTGACGAAGGGAGGGTGACGGTGGAAGAAAGAGTTTGAGGCAGGGCAGGGTAACAGGAGCATCGATTATGGAAAACTGAAAACCCTGTCTACCTACTGCTCTGCTTCTCCATGGTCTGGCTCTGGAAACCCCAGGAAGATGGTTAGTGTAAGGTCGCTGGTATAATATGAAAAACATATCTACCCAGAATCACTTCTGCTGCTTGCACCTTCCCTGGAGACCATGGAGCTGTAATGGGCACATAAGTTGGTCTTTCCCGAACAAACTCGGGTTCTTGTATGAGATCAGAAGACACAAACAATCGCTCAGGTTCTTTCAAAGAAGTCTTCTCTTGGATCACTTTTTATTCTTGAGGCCAAACAGCTTGTACTTCCTCGTTATAAAATGCAGACACTCGAGTGCTTTCTCCAGAGCAAAAATTGGTTGACACTCCCTGCTGATGGATTCAAACATTTTGACTGAACTCATTCAAATTCCCATCAGTTTAGTCAATTGATGTCATATCAAATATCTGTCAGCACAACCAGCCAAGTCGATTAGACACCTGGTCTTTTTAGTCAGCTAAACTTGTTATTTCTGAAAACAAAAATAAAAAAAAAATCGAGATAAAAGTAACCTATCAATTTAGTTAGCAACTGACTAATAACTTCCATCAAAAAAATATATTTTTGTTGAACTACTTTGATTTTTTTTTCCCACTGAATCTACTAAATCAATCAGTTGTGCGTGGGGTGGGGAGGATATTGACCAGATGTGCAGTTTACTGAGCAAGCAGGGAGGTGAACATCAGAAATGAAATCATCAAAATGATTCCATCAGAATGGCTACTGCTCAATCATCCACAATAACAATGAGAAATGGGATCCCGCAAGACGGATGACAGGGAGTCCCTAATCACAACAATTTGGTGCACTGACGAGCATTTTTTCTATTCTTTCTAGAAATTCACCTTCCTGTCTCGTTTGTCCATAATTGATAAGAAAATGGGTGTGATTGCCCGGGAGTGCTGATTTGTGTCCCCAATTGCCTGTCAAGCACCAACAAGCTGATGGCAGGTTCGCTGAAAACCGAAAGTTGATTGTATTTATTTGAGGTTCCCTTGAGTGTTATATTATCCTGAATTAATTCTGAAAGATATGATGCCTTCCCAAGTCCAGAGGTTATGATAAATTCAGTGTTTGACACGGTCTATGTTAGACCTGAACTAAAGAGTTAAAATCTATTTCTTTGTTTAAACTGAAACCATTCAACCTGGCCTTTCGCACCCTCCTTCTCTACCTTTACCCTTCTCTCAAGCCTCGCCTCACCCTTTCCCAGCTCCCACCACCTCTCACCCCCTCCCCAGGATGCCTGGAGCCTTAATAGTGTTCCAGAGCTCTCCCTGCATGGGCGACCATTTAATAGATCAAGTCACACGAAGGGATCTTTGACTCACTGTGCTAAATCTTTCCAAGGGTGCTTCTTCTTCAAAAAAGGATACCTGAAGAGGTCTGTGTTTAGTTCAAAGTAGTGAATCACTAATGGTATAATTTCAGATGCCAGGTAACTGGAGAGAGTCCCAAGTGTCAGCAGACATGGTTTTAACAAAGCCAAGTATTGTGAAGAGCCATCTTGCTTAAAGAATCAGAACACATTCACTCTCAAGTGTATTCATGCAGAATTAAGTGGCCCACTTTTGTCCGATTCAAATTTTTCACTGGTCAGATTTTCTCCCGGTCATAGACATTTCTGCAGCAGGAATAAGCTGATTATTTATTGTTAGTCACTCACCACCTACAATTCACTTTTCCAATTTTCCGTGTTGCATGTACAGTGCCACTTTGTCAATCCCTGCAGTTTATTGACTGTGTTCTGATGGCTGGGGTAAACAAATTACTTCGGGAATGACTGGAGCAAAAAGGGCACTGCTCGCTGGCTTCTAATGATGGAACTGGTGTGTGATCCAGTTGGTCCTAATGTCAGGAGGCAATTCACCATCAGGACGGTGCAGGTTGCCATAACCCATCCTATGAGTGACAAAATTCTGTATGGTACCCAATATTGACCTTTTTTTATTCTCGGTAAATATCAGATAATATTAGATCAAATGATTTTGCAGATAAAATACTCCCAAATTTTAAAGTCTCCTCCTCTAAAACCCACTGAAAATATATGGCACAGTAACAACCCTGCTTTATAAATGCATTAAAAGCATCAATAACCAGGAAGTTCACATTCTTGCATTAGGCCAGAGGACATTTATTGGATCTAGAGCAAGTCCTTGCACTATCTAGACCCAAATCCATGCTTAGCTTAGTGGTCTGCAAATTTCTTTATTGTGCAATTCTACTAGAAAAATATTTTTGAGCAGGCACCCCCAGTACATTTGTTTAATTACGAATTATATTTATGTACTTATATCAGCCAATATGTCAAGGCACAATACACGGTTAGGAGAGGGTCATCTTTAATGACAGTAAATGTAAATCCTTTTTAAAGTAGACTTCATGATTTTGACATTTTAGGGGCCTAGGTCTTGTCATGGCTAATTAGGTTGTCATTGCCTTTACTTTCTAATGTAGCTGGAATAATCAGAAAATAAGCACAACTGAGGAAGCAATAGCCCCAGCACTCTCCTCTGACTTATTTGTGCTTTTTTAGCCAATCTTTCTTTATATTCTAAAGTTTCTTTGTAAGGATCTTGTTAATCCAAGTGTCCGTTTTGTGTAAATCTTTTTGTACCATGGGAATCCACTCTATTCCAGAATGATAATAATAATACTAATAACCAATAAAAAGCACGTATCCAGGAAGTTTGACTCCTGAGGCTACACAGACAGCCACCAACCTCCTGACCTTGCCACACTGACCTTCACCCAAGGTACGCAAGGTCCATACGTGACGTGTGACAACTTGAAAAAGCATCTGAACCAGGACACTTTAAGTGTATCTCAATTTTTAGATAAAAATATCCATAGAAGTTCTAATATTTTCTATCCACACCCCAATGGACTGAGTGTCTGACATATCTCTCAGGATGAATGTCCCACTTTGGGAACCACGGGTTCTAGTTCACCTTAAAATACAACCTCTTCTGGAGAGGAAGGTGGAGAGGCCCACCAAGTCAGACTTGATGTCCTGCCCAGCAGTTTGGGCATCCTGGGGGCACTGGGAAGCATTAAAGAGTCTTTTGAAGAAGGGATGCTATGACCTGAGTTGCATTCCCTTGCAAGATTATTCTGAATGCGCTAAGAAGAATGGATTGCAGAGCATACACAGGAGTGATACACAGGAGTTATAACGGGAGAAAGGATAATGGTCTGAATTAAGGCTGCAGCCTCTAAAATGGAAAAAAGTGGGCAGATTCACAAGATAGTAAAGATTTGGTTATTCATTAAACTTGCCCAAGGTTAAACAGCTGGTAGGCAGCAGAGCTAAATTTAGACCCCAGGTCCCCTCACTCCCAATACAGTGATTTTTCTTCTGATTTGCCGTGTCAGAGAACACCTGGTCCCTCGGTTTTATCCTTCCCCAGGGAGATAGGTGATCAGGAGCTAAGCCCAGACAGCAGCGTGCAGTTTCCAGCAGGGTGATGAAGGAAGGCAACCAGAGAGGAAAAGCACTGCCTTCTCCAGATGTATTTGTCTTTGCAGGATCCATGAGGGGGCTCCATGAGAATCTGTGTTCTGGGTATTGAATCCCATACTGAAATCACACACTTTCCATGACAGCAAATAGAAACTCAAGTGACTATTTACTCCAGGCCAGGCCTTAACAAAACCCACAGCCCATCCTGCTGAAGGGTGGAAGGAGATAGGGAGGTACCAACTTGGGGGAAAGAGAAACAGACTCGTAGTCATTCTCACTCAGGAGCCCTTGTCTCTTCTTCTAGACTGTTTGAAATCCTTCTTCCTTTAAGCTAAAACATTAGCTCCTCCAAAAATTCCTTCCTAATTACTCCTGCCTTCCTGTCCCCTGCCCCAATCTCCTTCCTTATGGCACCTCTTGTTCAGGGTTCAGTACAGAAAACAGAAGCAACTACAGGTATTTTAAGCAGAAAGGGATTTAATACAGGAATCTAGGGGCTCACGAAATTTGGGGCAGAGTTATAGGAGTGAGCTTTCTAGGTTGGGCCAGAAATGACTCCTGGAACCCTACAAAACTGACATACCATAGGGGCTACTACCTCAGAGGCCACCTCTGAAACTACTGAGTTCAAGAACCCACCACGAGGGGCACCAGGGTGGCTCAGTCGTTAAGTGTCTGCCTTCGGCTCAGGTCATGATCCCAGGGTCCTGGGATCGAGCCCCGCATGGAGCTCCCTGCTCAGCGGAGAGTCTGCTTCTCCCTCTCCCACTCCCCCTGCTTGTGTTCCCTCTCCCACTATGTCTCTCTCTGTCAAATAAATAAATAAAAGCTTTAAAAAAAAGAACCCACCATGATATTCCAGGAATCAGAAAGCCAGAATCATGTGGTCACTATAGCTCCCGCCCCTCAAACCCCACAAAGCTGGTAGCTGAGCACTGAGTGGCAAAAAATGTCATCTGTCCATGACCTTGCTTCCACAAAAAAACAGCTAAAAGATCAAGACTTCTGCTTCACTTCTACCTTCTAGACTTTGCCTACATGCCTCTACTTGACAACGCCTGATTTTATTCCAGAACTTTAGCTGCAAGGGAAGCTGAGAAATTTGATTTTTAACTTTCTAGACTCCTGTATATAGTAGGGTGCCCTAGGAAGACGGAGCAAGCCACACTAGGGGTTCCAGCATGGGACCTCCCAAATAATGCATCTTATGGTATTTTTACGTGTCTAACCACCCCTCAGCTCCTGGAGGACAGGGGTCATGTCTTTCACATCCTTTAAGGCTACAAGACTTGCAGAAGAGAGGTCCTTGCTAAGGACAACCAAATAATCAAATGGTCAAACTCACTGTTTCAGTACTTTCTTACTTTGCTTTCTGATTCTGTTCCTACCTTTAAATGTTGTCTCTGCATTAAACCTCCTTGAAGATAATGCTAGTTGGTACTTCTCAGGTGTATCCCCACGGAGTGAGCCACAGAGCGAGGTATATACTTTCCTCATTTGGTGGGTGATTGTGTTTCACAGCTGACCCCCAGCTGGTTTTTCTTCCCAAGAGACATCTCTGCCCCATGAGGCTCGGCCAATAGGAACCCGATTTCCTGCAAAAGTGTGAGGCCAACCGATCTTTCGTATCTGAACTATCATCTTGTTTTGGCAGCAGCGTAGCTCCAAGCGGGTAAGCAGATGCCCTCTACACTATTCTACTTGGTTGCTATGGGGATTAGGTAGGATAACACAGGAACAACACCTACCACATAGTAGGTGTTCAGTAAGTGTCGATTTCCTTCCTTCTCTCCAAGAACTTCTTCCTCCATAAAAAATACGTCTTTTGGGGCTCAAGCTAAGAGACTGGCTAATTAGCTCCTTGAAGAGGTATTAATGGCTAGTGTATTAGTTATCTACCGATGTGTAACAAATTGCCCAAAATTTAGCAACTTAAAACAGCAAAAATGTCTTTGGCCAGGAATCTGGGAGGAGTATAGCTGGGTGGTTCTGGCTGAGGGTCTCTCATGAGATGGCTGTCAAGGTGACAGGCAGGGCTGCTGTAGTCTGAGGGCTTTCCTGGAGCGGGAGGATCTGCTCTCAAGATGACGGTCTCGTGCTGCTAGCTAGTTCATGCTGCTTGTTGCCAGGAGCTCTCAGTTCCTCTCCACAAGGAGCTCCTAAGGCTGCTGGAGTGCCATCATGACATGGCAGCCACGTGCCCAGAGCCAGTGACCCAGGAGCGCCAGGCCGAAGGGCCATGGCTTTTATAACCTGGCCTCGGAAGCCACAGAGCCTCATTTCTACATAATGTCTGGCCTGTTACACAGGTCAGCTCTGTAACACCAGGAGGCAAGGGCCACCAAGGGCCACTGTGGCAGCAGCAGGCTGCCACACCTCCTAATGGCCTCATCCTGTAAATGAGCTCTTCCGGGTACTGTCACTGTGATTTGGAAAGGACTTTGATTGTCTCAGTGCAACCTTGTGAGATATCCTTAGAGATACTTTAATCTTTGTACGATTTTAGCTCTGGAGTGCACTTATTCGTCACTCAGGAAATATGTGAAGAATGAATAAATTTGTCCTTTAAGCAACATATAGGCATTCCCCAAAATGGAGCAGCTCAAGAGGTAAAGCACCTAGGAGGCTTTCTTGTGAATATAGATGTGTACGAATCATGTATTATGTGTGTGTGATAAAATGTCACCCACAATAAGAACTTGGGAACAGGGGCACCTGGGTGGCTCAGTCATTAAGCGTCTGCCTTCGGCTCAGGTCATGATCCCGGGGTCCTGGGATCAAGCCCCACATCGGGCTCCCTGCTCTGCGGGAAGCCTGCTTCTCCCTCTCCCACTCCCCCTGCTTGTGTTCCCTCTCTCGCTGTGTCTGTCTCTGTCAAACAAATAAATAAAATATTAAAAAAAAAAAAAAAGAACTTGGGAACATATGAACTATAATAAAAGAATTAGTGATAATCACTGAATTCCTTTTTTATGTAGAGGAATAAAAATACATATAAATATATACACATAAAATATATATAAATGTATGTATACATATATGTATACTCTACATAAAATATATATAAACCTATATATACATATAGATGTATACTCTACATAAGAATGAATATGTATATATATCTTCTTTCTTTAATAGATAGGGATACAAGTGTATGACAACTATAAATTATAATTAAAGAATAGAATAAAATGGTATAAACCTTGACAAAGCAAAAATAATAATAGTAATAAAATTAGTAAAAATTGATGAAAGCATAGAAAACCAATTTTCTTATTTTTCTAGTAAGAGGCATTCAGTACTACCTAAATATGAAACCTGGGGGTTTCTTTGAAAGATACTAAGTTCTTAATTTTTTTAATGGTTTTTCTGTTTTCTTAGCCTTAAAAGGTTATAAAAACTAAAAATACTTCCTGTGATGAATAAACATTTATCTGAAGTTTAGCACTTTTCTGGTTTCACTTTAATTCATTTTTCTTTAAGTCACACAAAATTAAATATGATACTTTCCATTAAAAATAGCTCTAAAGCAAAAACAAATAGCTCATAAGGCATAATCCTATTTCTAGAAAAGAATTTTGTCTGTCTGTTTCTCTTGCTGCTTGGGTATATGAGCAGAGAGGTGTCTGGGAGGACAGTTCCCAAATGTTTATGATGGCCATTTCCACATTTGGGAAATGCCAGTAAGCCTCTGTATTCCTCCTATGCTCCTCAGTAGTTGAAATTTTCATGGCAACCATATATGATTTTATAAACATGGCAATGAGGGGCTTAAAATAAAAAGAATATGATTATTGGGCAGGTGATATTGTCATCTCATTTTAAGGCATATTCCCCAAAATGTTTGTGTCTTAGCACCTCAGAAGCCCTTGAAGATGTTATAGATGGGTCATTGGTTTTGAGAGGTGTACTTTACCTGCCTCTTGATGAGCCATTTGTCTTCTCCCTGATCTATGATCCCCATCTACACCTCTACCCAGAACTGGACCCCTTCTAAAGGCAAAGCACTGCGAGTCTGGGAGTTCTGGTTGAATCCTACTTCTTAGTTCACAGTTTTATCAGGCCTGGGCATGAAGGAATTAGGAGCATCACCAAAAAGGCAATACAATCATGTGGAAGGACGGGCCCGAGAGGAAAAGAGATGTGTCTATAAACACTGAAAAAAAAAAAAAAAAAAAAAAAAAAAAACCAGAAAGAAACAGGACACAAGACTCCTTCACATTCAATTCAAAGATCTCTTAAAAATTGATCTTAGGAAAATTATGATATTAAAAATCTTTCTACCAACAGGCAAGTTTTTGGTTTTCATGACTTCTTTCATCCTTGGCCTACCAGGTTTCCCCACTGAGAATCTTGTGGGGGACATTCCCTTGTCATATAGGCTTGTCTTGCATATTGCAGCATATTTAGCCTCCCTGGCCTTCACTCAATAAATAGTAGTGGTACCCCTCAGTCACTGAGACAACCAAAAGATGCTCCCCTCATTTCCACCTTCATTTCCTACCCACCCCCACAGTGGGAACCAGGGCAGTCCCATCCCTGGACACTCACAGTGTGCCTTCTGGTTTCCGTGAGGACAAGAAGAGCTTTTGCTTGCTCACTGTTGAATCACTACTGACTGGCCCATATAGTAGGTACTCAACAAACACATTTGACTGAATGAGCAATATCTGATAGAGGATCTGCTGTGCAGAAATTAGTGTTTTAGGAAGATTAACATTTCTAAGTATTTACATCAGCAAATCCTCTCTCATTAAATTCCTGGTAGTTGGAGGCTTTCAAGCTTATGAACAGCCCCAGAAAACCTGGGAGGACGTAGGCAAAGTGACATTTGTTGACATCTACGGCACGCGGGGTGGTGGGCTGCTCAGCCCTCTCCGGGTAGTAACCACCATCCTGCCTCCCAGATGAGAAGGAATCTGTGCATCCCATGGCGCCATGGTAGGTGGCAGGGCTAGAATTTGGATGGACTCCCGAGGCCATGCTCTTCTGGTTCCACTCACTGTGACCATCCCAGTGGGGTTTGCTCATCAACACTCACCCTCCTTTCAGATGCTCTCGAGAAAACACATCTTCAGAGATTTCACAACAAACGCCACTTCTTTTCCAGTGATGTCCAGACAAATTCCATCTCTACAGAGTCTTGGCTGCTTAAATATAGCCAACGTATCTCTCCCATTACCTCAGCCAAGCCTCAGGGGGTCAGAGGACAAGCATCTTGGCAAATGTCTTCGGCCACTTGCAAAATGCATACATTCTTTAACACTCAACTGGTGTAACCCCAAGTGGCTTCTTCAGGGTTCTGAGGAAAGCTCATTTGGTAAATCTGGTTAGGCATGAAGGAGGAGAAAGGGTGGGATGAAGCTGGAATTAAGTCCCCGTTTCCCTGCCAGCCTCCCTCTGGTTCTCCTTCTTAAGTAGCTGTCCCAGGGGCTGGCTATCTCTAAGCCCAGATGATGTGCCAGGAGCCATGCACAGGGCAGTGTGACAGATCACCTCGCCTCCTCTTCTCCGGGAAGAGTGTTGCTCCATCCTTCACAGGATTCATGCAAGAAGGGAGGAGGAGGGGGAAGCCTCACTAGAGAGTCTGGCAGCTTGAAGGCTGTGGCCCCTTCAGAGCAGGGACAAATGGCTCCGGAGCAACCATCTTTCTTCCCAGCCCCATCTCCCCTCCAACTCCAACCCTTCTCAGCACCTCTCCAGCCAGCACTTAACCCTCCCCCTGTGCTGTGACTCTGCTTTTCCTCTTCTCTCCTCTCCCCCTTCCTCCTTATTCTCCCCCCTCCTCCGCCACATCCCTCCTTGTCTACCTGTAAATACCCTTGTTCCTTTCTGCCAACCCCAGCTGTGTTCCTTTCTCACTACCTCCACAAAATATCCCCTTCCAGTCCAGGCGGCACTTTCTCTATTCAGTCTTCTTTGATGTGGCACAAACTTACTGTGTGATTACTGATGTTCTTACTAGTGCTCTTCCTTCCTGCAGCCCCCTTCCCCCACCCCAGCACCCCCACTGGAGTTTGCTGTGAAGCAAGGCTGCGTGACATGTCGTAACTAAAGCCCCCTAACCTTGACTCGCCCCAGCATGGGCCCAGGCTCTGTCCTCTTTGGGGGCCATTCACAGCCACGACCCATCTATGTCTCCTCTTTATTGTCTTGTAGGAGCTTATAAGGCAAAGGTGAGCTTTTGATTTAGGTATTTTCAATAATGGGATGAGCTTCCACTTCCATAGGTGCCCCATTTTTATTTCTGAAATTGTGCACCCCTTACAAGCCAGCTTCCTTGGGGGCATGCCATGGCTAGGACCCTGCTCAGGTTGTGTGGGAAGCAGGGATTTAGCTTCGACAGGCTGAGACACATGCTGGAAAGGACTGGGGCATTCGCCACCTCCTTTCATCTGGAGATAGAGAATGTAAACGATATTTAATTAAAGTCATAAATCTAGCTTTGGTTTCATTTTGGTTTTGCTGTTGCTAAATCTAATCTTGTTTCACTTGTTTACTGAATGCTTTGACACTTCAGCCAAAGTTCTAAAACTAATGGAGATTGTTCCCAGGCCCAGAGCCCGCATTTAGAAAGGCAGCTGATCCTCAGCCCACACGTACCTTGAGTAGCAAGGCAGTAAAATGTATGCCGCAAAGACAGATCCCCAAAGATCCAGGTCAGTGCCTCTCAGTGCGGGCTGCACATCAGCATCACCTAGAGAGACCCTCAGGCTCCCAGGGCCCAGGCCGCACCCCAGACCACATAAGTCACACTCTGTGAAGGAGGAGCCCTGGCGAAGGACAGCTGTGTGCTGTCCGGGATGAGAACCTCTGCCCCTGCGGTTTAAAAGGATGGAGGGCTCACAGCTGGCCGAAGGGGAAGGGGGAGGCACTCTGAAAACAACATTGCCCCCTACTTGCCCAACTGTTTTCCCACCAAACCAGATTGCAACAGGGGCTCCAGTTCATCACGTGCAGAAAATGAGGCCAGTTTTGAAGACTGGAGGTGACTGGGGGCAGCCATGCCTTGAATGGCTCCCAAGCACATTACAGCATGCTGAGAAGTGCCGTCCAAAGGGATGGAGGGCAGGGCCCCAGGATGCTGCACCAGAAGAACCCAGCCCTGGGGCCCCTTGGTCTAGTACTTATGACCTGAGATTCAGCACCATCCCATTAACTGCCCCTTTACCTGCACCCAACACCACCCCTCAGCCCCTTCAGAACACCTCCACTCTGTTTCCGGAAGGCCTTCGAGGTCACCTGACTCTGAGCTGTACCTGAATTAGAGGCTCCGGGCACAGCGCCTGATGGGATCTGTCCCAATTTCCGCACCCTCCCAGGGACAGCTCTGCTTCCCCACTCTGATCGGTGTCAGTTCCAGAAAATAAACATCTGTGCAGGGAAAACATGGTCAGGGTTTTGTTGAAAAGAAAGGGTGTAGCTCTAGGGCCTAAAGGACATGCCAGACTAAGTCCTTGGAGAGGTCAAGTCCAGAAGAGCTGTGTCCTTGCCAAATGGAAGACTGGGGCTGCATACTGCCCCAGGTTACAGCATGAAGTCCCAGCTTTACACCATCGTTCAGTTCCTGAAAGGAGGCATGTGTCTGTCCACATTAAAGCCAAACACCAGAAACCTCAATGACGTAAAGCCAGGCCCCAGGGAGAATGAGGACCTGCTGGCCCCCGGGGCTCTGCATGAGAGGAGAGAGACGTCCTCGGGGCGGACATGGCGCAGCAAGGGAGTCAGTGATGCTGTTGCGGACAGAGCCCAGGCCTGAGCTTTAGGAGGCAGGGTCAGTCCCAGCCACTGTGTCAACTCCCCGTGTCACTGGGGGGTGGGGGGGGTGCCCTCACTCTCTGGGCCTATGAAATGAGAATCGCACCCCCTGCCTCTCTCCCCATCATGGATCGTTGGGGGAAACAAATGCAGATCTTGACCTGAGAGTACTTTGTAAGGTAGGGAACACTAAAGGACATGCCAGACTAAGTCCCTGGAGAGGTCAAGTCTGGAAGAGATGTGTGCGCGAAGAGTTAGAGCAGTGCCGAATCCGCAGAGTTCATAGTGTGTGTGTGTGTGTAGGAGTGTGTGCATGTGTGTGCATGTGTGTACAAGCATGAGTTTGAGTAGTGTGTGTGCATGTGTATGAGTGTGTGCATGCGTGCGCATACATGAGTATGTGTGCATGTGTGTGAATACGAGTCAGAGTTTTGTAGTGTGTGTGCATGCGTGTGTATGAGTGTGTGTGCACATACATGACTGCGTGTGCATGTGTGTATGAACATGAATTTGTGCCGTGTGTATGTGTTCATGTGTATGAGTATATGTGCGTGCACATACATGAGTGTGTGTATGTGTGTATGAGCATGCATGAATTTGTGTAGTGTGTGTGCACATGTGTGTAGTGTGTGTGTGCTTGTACATACATGTGTGTGGGTACGAGCATGTGTTTGTGGAATGTGTGTGTGTGCACATGTGTACGAGTGTGTGCATATACATGCATGTGTGTGAGTACGAGCCTGTGTTTGTGGAGTGTGTGTGTGTGTGTGTGTGTGCCTGGCAACTGCACTGGGAAGCAGATCCTAAGCACTGCCTGGGCCACAGGAGAGGCCAGGGTGCCCTGGCGTCAGGAAGGCGCCCCAGCAATGACAGGGCTGGGGCGCGTGGGCAGGGTCAGGTCGTAGTGGAGGACAACACATGTGGAAACACATGGAGCCTGAGGCAGCCCCAGGCCCAGAGGAGAGCTCCTGCTGAGAGCAGGGGCACGTGTGACAGAGAAGCTGGAGAGTGGTTCCAGCCCAGGTGGAGCCCCGTCACCCCAAGGCAGAGCCGTGGGAGAGCGAGAACACTCGCTGCCTTCAGTGCCGCTTCCCCTTTCCCCCAAGTAGCCCCAGCCTGTGCCGAAACCAGACCCGCCGCCCTCAGGTGCTCTGGGGACATGCCCGAAGCAGCCACCTACAGGGTCAAAATGTCTTCCTAGAAATTTTTTGGTTTTTTTTTTAAGATTTTATTTGTTTATTAGAGAGAGAGAACAAGCAGGTGGAGGGACAGAAGGAGAGGGAGAAGCAGACTCCCACTGAGCAGGGAGCCCAATGCGGGGCTCAATCCCAGGACCCCAAGATCATGACCTGAGCCGAAGGCAGATGCTTAACCAACTGAGCCACCCAGACACCCGTATGTTTTTGTCGGGTGGCTCAGTCGGTTAAGCATCTGACTCTTGGTTTTGGTTCTGCCATGATCTCAGGGTCGTGAGCTTGAGCCCCGCATCCTTTTCCACTCAGCTGGGAGTCTGCTTGAGATTCTCTTTTCCTCTCCCTCTGCCCCTCCCCTTCTGCTCCTCCCCCAACCCTCACATATGCACGCTCTCTCTCTCTCTCAAATTAATTAATTAATTAATTCTTAAAAATAAAATTTAAAAAAATAAACAAAAACATAAAAGCAGTAAGCACCCAGTTCCGGTAGCAAGCCACTCAGACATGCAGCATCTCAGAAGCTTTCTGAGAGGTAGCATGACCAAGTCACGTTTTAAGGTAATTCATCCATCACCCGTGACAAGGTGGAGAGGAGCTGGGTTGCTGAAGTGAGGGAGACCAGCTAGGAGCTGACCTGGACAGGAGAGGACCTGGCCCAGAGGGAGAAAATAGATTCATGCAGAAGAGGCCCTTGACGTGAAATTTGACTGCTCCGTGATTGCTGCTTTGGGGATGTGGAGAGGCAGGACCACTACAGCATGGGGAAGGGTCATCCCACTTAAAGAATGTCAGCCGAGAAGGGTATGGTGACCCCCTCAGAATGTCCTTCCAAACCCAAGGATAGCCAAGATCCAAGGAGGAGATCCAAGCAGGTCCAGCGTCCTCCCCGCACGCCACTCCAGGCCTTGGTTAGGTCCCCAGCTACAGGCACCAACCCTGGACCTGCGGGAGAACCCAGAGAGAGAGAGGCCCCGAGGCGCTGACCACCAGCCATCTCTCACCCTGACAGTCTGCAGGTGGCCCAGCTGAGACTGTGCTGCCTCCCGATTCCCCTCCCGCCCAACCTGACCTCTGGCCCCAACGAGTCAGGCTCCTCTCAGTCCACATCAGACTCCCTGGGCTGGAACTGCCAGGAAAAACTCTGAGCTCCCTAACAAGAAGCAGCTCTTGGCCAACCTCTTACACAAGCCAGCTCTGAGAAAGGCACTCTCACCTTAGCCTAGCTGCTGACTGGTCCCTTCCCTTGTTCCCTGGCCTATCTGTCGAGGGACCAGGGCCCTCCTGGCTTCATCCCCTCCCTGGCCTCCCTGAGCTACAATCCTTGGATCTGTTCTGCCCCCATTCCAGCATCTACTTGGCCCCGAGCAGCTGATTTCTCCCTTTCAGCAGCTGTCCACTCGGCTCAGGGATCAGCAGAGCCCTGGCCCGGGGACCCAGCCTGACTCAGCAAGGTCCTTTCGGAGTCATGTCTCTGCCCCTGATCCTGCTGTCGCTGAGATC